TACTTTGCTCTTGGTGTGATCTGCACTAGAAATCATGACACTGAAAATCTCCACAACTCATGCCCAGGAATCAACTGCAAACAGCTCTAGTGCTGCCTGTTGTCCTTCTCCAGAAGAGATAGATCTTGTTAGAAAGTTTTCTTGTTAGAAAGTCATTTCTTGTTAGAAAACAAGAACAAGCCACATCTCACCTTTTGACAAGTATAGCAACAGGATATGAAGGATGCTTGCGGCTGACTTTCCTGCCTGCAAACCTTTCCTAGCTCTCAAAGCAAGCAATGACCCTAGCTGATAAAAAGTCTTCCTAGGAAGACTTTTTCTCTATTTATTCTGTATTTATTTTACTTCCAGCACAGCATTTCACACCAAAGGCACTGTATCGCTGAAATTACTTTTGTCTCTAACRTTATTAGACATTCTACAAACCTCTAGAGTAGAAAAGAAAAAGGGTTTCTTTTATAAARCCCTGGAAAATCCACACCCTTGAGCTCTCAGGCAGCTGGCATGGAGTCCAGGTACCGCTTCCGTAATCCTGGGCTGGGCCCAGGCAGGTTTAAATAATACACATACCATCGACAAGAACCAGGAGGTAAAGTTCCRGCAAGTTGCTTTCCCGCGGTGCCCTGTAGAAACTCTTCTCTTTGCTGTATCTGCTGTACCTCTAGAGATCATCTAGTCCAACACCCCTGCTCCAGCAGGGACACCTACAGCATATGGCACGGGGTGGCATTCAGGTGGATTGGGAAGACATCCAGAGAAGGAGATTCCACAACCTCCCTAGGCAGCCTCTGCTACCCTCACAAGAAAGAAGTTCTTTCTCACATGGAGATGGAACTTCCTGTGTTTTAACTTATACCCATTGCCCCTTATGCTGTCTCTGGCCACCACTGAGAAGAGCTTGTTCCCTTTCTCCCTACATTCACCCTTCAGGTATTTATACATGTTAATGAGATCCCCTCTCARTCTTCTCTTCTCCAGGCTAAACAGGCCCAACTCAGTCTTTCCTCATATGAGAGATGTTTCAGTCCCTTGATCATCTTTGTCGCTATCTGCTGAACCCTCTCTAGAAGCTCCACATCCCTCTTGTACTGGAGAGTGCAGAACTGCACCCAGTACTCCAGGTGCAGCCTCACTAGAGGTGAGGAGAGGGGCAGAATCCCCTCCCTTAACCTGCTGGCAACACTCCTCCTGATGCAGGCCAGGATCCCGTTGGCCTTCTTGGTGATGAGGGCACACAAACTCTTTAAGCAAAAGTATCCSCTAGGAATGGTAAAAATGAAGCTCACAAGCTGCAACCTTTATTCATAAGTCAAAAATAAGAAGACCACATAAGAGTAAGTGTGTTGATTAGAAAATGTCCTCTAAATACAGAAATTCTAGCATTACACAGCAATGATATTTGTCAGTTAGATTTTGTATTTTTTCCTTAATTAAGTTTTTTAATTTTGAAGACATAAGGCAGACAATTCAGGCATATTATCAATGCCCAACAAACCTGAAAAGAGAAGCATATTCCTCCCACTTCTTTTAAAAGCGACTTGCTTCATTTTCTTACATTTATATGAGTTTCTTTAGCCAAGCAKAGTTTTAGGCAGGCATGTTGACTTGCTTGCACATCAGTACATCCGGAGAACTTTTCTCACAGTCTCCACATTTATCATCAGGAACAGTTTTTCTCTGGCTTCCTGGCTCTAGAAATTTCTTGATTGCAGGGATGCTGATTGTATCTGCTATGCCTAGAAGAAAGTAAACAAATACATGGGGTTTAAAGATCACAAGGTAATTGAGGAAAAGCAAAGTTAGACTCATTTGTGCAASCAAAGGGTTTAACTGAAGAGGGCACCATTTAACCMCAACACAATCCAAAGACCGTCTGTGCTTAAGACTGTCCTAGACTCTGATACTGCTGGAGCAGGAGGGTTGGACTAGATGATCTCTAGAGGTCCCTTCCAACCTTAACTATTCTATGATTCTGTGATTCTGTGATTCTGTGAAAAGGACAATAGAATGAGGGCACAATCTTGATTCCTGCAGCACTCATGCTCTGCAACTTCTCCCTCAGCAACATTCACATGTGAGTATCAYGAAAAAGGCCTTTCTTTTCCTAAGGAGAAAAAGAAGCTCCTCAGAAATGAAAGCACCATAYTCAAACAAAAAGCAAATGGGGAAATTAAATTTCCTCAGAGTGGCTCTTTTGCATCATTTGCGCAGTACGAAAGGGAGCCTAGCCACGAGGAATGTTGTGAGCAGAGGCCAAGGTCTCCGGATCGAGCGTGGCTGCCTTCAGCACTTCTGGGAGGCAGAACGGAAAAGGCTCCTCTGCAAAATGACCCTTCCAGCTCCTACACCCTCCTCTGCAGAAGGAGAAAGAAATTTTGTGTCTTTCCAGCTGCTAAGAACAGTTTTATTTCCATTGCATGAAACACATCCACATGGATAACAGAGCTTTTACGCTCAGTTTAAAGCTGATGGTACAAGTGAGCAGTTACAGGCAGCAGCTGGCAGTTGCATGTACATGGTTGTTTCATTTAATAGTCACATTTATGGTTTCAACTTTCTTGCTATTCTCTCTGTAGCAGCGCTTGAATCATGTGATTATGATTATCATTAGGTTCTGACGAACCTAATAGCCTTCTATGATGGGATGACTGGCTGGCTGGGCAAGGGGAGAGCCGTGGATGTTTTCTACCTGGACGTCAGCAAGGCGTTTGACACTGTCTCCAATAATATACTCATAGGACAGGTCTGGGAGTACGGTCTGGACGAGTGCACGGWGAGGTGGATCGAGAGCTGGCTGGATGGCAGAGCTCAGAGGGTGGTTATAAATGGGGCCGAGTCCAGTTGGAGGCCTGTGGTCAGTGGTGTCCCCCAGGGGTCAATTTTGGGCTCATTACTGATCAACTTGTTCATCAGTGACTTGGACACTTGAACAGCACACAGGACACCCTGAGCAAGTTTGCAGATAATACCAAGCTGGGTGGAGTGGCCGACACTCCAGAGTGCTGTGCTGCCATTCAGAGGGGCCTGGACAGGCTGGAGAATTGGGCAGAGAGGAACCTTATGATGTTCAACAAGGACAAGTGCAGGGTCCTGTACCTGCTGGAAAGCAGCTCCAGAGAGAGGGACCTGCAAGTCCTGGTTCACACCAAGTTAACCATGAGGCAGCAGTGCCCTCGTGGCCAAGAAGGCCAATGGGATCCTGGCCTGCACCAGGAGGAGTGTTGCCAGCAGGGGGAGGGAGGTGATTCTGCCCTTGTACTCAGCTCTGGTGAGGCTGAACCTAGAGTACTACATTCCGTTCTGGGCTCCCCAGTATAAGAGGGACGTGGAGCTCCTAGAGAGGGTCCAATGGAGGGCAACAAAGATGAATAAGGGACTCTCATASAAGGAGAGACTGAGTTGCGCCTTTTTAGCTTGGAGAAGAGAAGGGTGAGAGGGGATATGATTAACATGTGTAAGTTCATGAAGGGGGAATGTAAGGAGGAAGGGGCCAAATCCTTCTCAGTGGTGGCCAGTGACAGGACAAGGGGTAATGTGTGTAAGCAGCAACACAGGAAGTTCCATGTGCATGTGAGGAAGAGCTTCTTTCCTGTGAGGGTCACAGAGCCCTGGAACAGGCTGCCTAGGGAGGCTGTAGAGTCTCCTTCTCTGGAGGTGTTCAAAACCCGCTTAGATGCCACCTTGTGTCACATGCTCTAGGTGTCTCTGCTGGAGCAGGGGGGTTRGACTAGATGATCTCTASAGGTCCCTTCCAACCTTAACCATTCTGTGATTCTGTGCTTATAATGTGCAATTTAGACTTCTTATTTAAGTAAGCTTACAGATAGTATTTCACTCAGCTTAGTTTACAAGATGTAAGTCATCATAATCAGGTCCTGCATCTGGGGAGGACTAACCTCAGGCACATATTAGGGGCTGACCTGCTGGAAAGCAGGTCTGGGAAGATGTATTTACAATTTTTGCTTCACAGCAAGTTAACAAGTCAGCAGTGTGCCCTCATGACCAGGAAGGCCAATGGGATCCTGGCCTGCATCAGGAGGAGCGTTGCCAGGACATGGAGGAAGATGATCCTGCCCCCGTACTCAGCTCTGGTGAGGCCACATCTGGAGTACTGAATGCAGTTCTGGGCTCTCCAGTAGAATGGGGATGTGTAGCTTCTAGAGAGGGTCTATCGAAGAGCAACAAATATGATTAAGGGAGYGGAACGTCTATCATATGAGGAAAGACTAAGCAAGCTGGGCCTGTTTAGCCTAGAGAAGACAAGACTGAGAGAGGATCTGATTAATATGTCAATATTTATTCATACCTGAAGGATGAATATAGGGAGGAAGGGGCCAAATCCTTCTCAGTGGTGGCCAGAGACAGGACAAMGGGCAATGGATATAACTTGAAATTCATGAAGTTCCATCTGCATATGAGGATGAACTTCTTGACTACAAGAGCCCTGGAAGAGGCTGCTCAGGGAGGCTGTGGAACCTCCTTCTCTGGAGGTCTTCAAAACCTGCCTGGATGCCACCCTATGTCACGTGATGTAGGTGTCCCTGCTAGAGCAGAGAGGTTGGTCTAGATGATCTCTAGAAGTCCCTTCCAACTTTTACCGTTCTGTGATTCTGTGATTCTGTGATAATATGAAAGCTACATTTCAAGGCAAAATGGTAACACAAGTTTAGTTTTTCATCTTTATGCTTGGATACAAGCAGTTATCTTTCAGTCAAACATAAGAAATGCTTTTAGCTATAGTGATTGTTTTATTAGCATGTGAAAATATACTAGAAGAATCACTGCACAGACTGCAAAYGATAAGCAGCAAAAAAGAGGTGTGTGGTAGAGTATATTGGGATCAAAAGTCCTAAGTCAAGAAAATGTAAGCTCTGAGGAAATCCCTGTTAAATCAGAACCAAAGGCTTTGCCAGGCCTTTTTCACGTGGGTCATGCTGACCATGTTTTAGTTAGACTCTCTTTCAAACAACTTTCAGGAACAACACAAGACAGAATGAGAGACCCCTTATCTATAAAGCTTGATGCAAACAATCATTAAACGTTTTTAACTGTTCACAGTGAGACTTTATTTATCTCTCGATTTATCTCTTAGAATCAGTAGTTTAAGACATCCAGCTTTGTCCAGCACATACCATTGGGCTTGTGGGGCAAGCCCAATGCTTATATAGAGAAAGAGGCATAATGAAACCTTTTAATTATCTTCATTTTAACACATTACAGGAATGACAGAGAAAATGCAATAGAGTTTTTGAGATTTTATGTTGCTGCTCACTGGTCACCATAGAAAATTTTCAACACTTTGGGGACATCTTTTACTTCCAGTGGTGGCTTCCTCGGGCTGCCAGGCTGCAGAAATTTYTTTATTGTRGGGATTTTACTTGTTCTTGCTTTAAAACTCTAAAAAACAAAAACAGAACAGCACTACACATAAGAACTGTGGTTATTATCAGACATTAGGATTATAGCCTTTCTGCCAATTGACATTGTGGGCTGGTCACATAGCGGACTTGTGTTTTCCCCTATTAGGCTTTTGAACCTCATAGAAGAGGTTTAGAGAAGGTAACGATAATTGGTAGTTGAGGCAGGCTAAAACTACTTGGGATAATTCATTCTGATTTTGTCTTTCCTTCTCTCCCCGCTCCCCTGTTTGTCTTAGCCAGTGTAAATCAATGGCTCCCCTTCTGATTCACTTCATATTACAACTGCCCATTCAATTACCTGCAGGACAGGAAATTTGGCAAGTATGTCAGCYTTGACCTCTTCTGCCATTAAAATGATTTCAAGTAATTGCACATCTGCCCTGCTAAGCTGGTTGCCCACAAGGAAGTCTTTTCCATGGTCCTTCAAAGCCTGAAAAGGGAGAACAATGACCACATGTATAAACAATCAATCTGACCACATTCTGACCACATCAGTCCTTCCTATCACACAGATTTTTCTGATGCCTCATTYGTAGCCCTCATCCGTTCACTTCCATAAACCTCATAGTCAAGACCTCTCTGCTGGAGRCKCAGAGTTGCTGGAATACAACCATCACTGCAAACATCCCACAAAGCTTACAAGAGGCATTAAGTTCAGTCCAGGGCATAATAGAATTATTATGGACTCCTTCAAAATATGAGCACATCCCTTCTCATTTGTCTCCTCTTCAGTGTTGGTAAATGTTGTGTTGGGAACTCTCCATGTGTAACCTTCTTGCTAAAGGAGGAACTACAATRTTTTCACATAGCAAACACGTGATTTTACGGAGGTCCCTKTGCTGAAAATACTTCAGGTGGAAATTTAACATAGCAAATGATACTAAAGAGGCTTTTGTCCAAAACAACATATAGGCTGAAACATATTTGGGGAGCTCAATTTATGCTGTGYCTTTGCAGCTCTGCATACCTCCCAGATTTGTARCATCCTCTATCCCTTTTGTATTCCTTTGCCTTGCCTTCTTCAAAACACTGCACGTACATTTAAGTGGTATTTTTTTCCTTTCCATTTTTTCTGAATTATGTTTGCATTTATAGACCCAAGATGGAGTTTCAGGAAGCCACATTAACTGAGTTGCGATATCTTTGCTACCTACCTTCTCAAAGACTGGGAAGTATCTGTTTGTGGCCTTGTCCACTGTATCAGCCATGTATTTCTCCTTTTTATCAGCTGGTTGGACAGGAGCTCTCATGATTAACTCATTCAGATCTAGTATTGCTTCCACATACATATCAATTCTGGAAGAAAAAGTTCATTTGGTCAATTTGCAGTAATAACATAGTAAGCACTGACATAGCCCCAGTTGAGATATTAGGAGCATCTCTTCTGCCCAAAACACACAGCATGGAGCAGTACCCAGCAAGTGAAGTAGCTTKTGTTTTGAGAGGAGGTGAAAGGTGAGAGGAATATGCCTAAGCAAAACTAAAGTACTACATTCCTTCTGTTTTCCACTAGTAATGGTACTCCTATGTATTAAGTTTTTCTACCATGCATACAAAGTTAATATACATCATTCAAAACTGTGCTAAAAAGAAAAACAACAACACACAAATAAAAATCAGAGGTGTTAAACTGTGGTTCTGTACAATTCCTACCAGATACCATGAAATGTGTCTGCTTGTGCTAATTATCTCGAAGCATGTCAGGATATTTACGTAGCCAACACATGTGGCTCGATAACCGTCTCCTTTAATATCTAGCTCCGAGAAACAGTGGAGTTTGTTTCCATCAAAGACATTTCCCTGAATCTGAGCTGGTGAAAATGCTGACGACTTAAGTGGGCAGTGAATGAAGAGCTGCAGCAGGAAGACAGTCTGTGCTCTGGGCTCCTGGCAACTCTCCTCCGATAATTACACTGACCTTTCATCTTCATGAACTCCTTTCTGATAACTACATTTGCTTCCAAAAGTCAATACAGCATGAACTACCATGCTCCCACCTGCCTATCTAGTCCTGGTGGTTAATCATGTTGTAGACATTGCCTGCAGCCAAGGTCAGGTCACGTAACATAAAAAAAAAAAAAAAAAAAAAAAAAAAAAAAAAAAAAAAAAAAGCCAAATGAGGCTGAATCTAATAGTAAGCTGAGATATTCTTGCTGTGTTACACAACAAGGCTGTATGCATTGTAGTTTGTGAAACAGAGGTAGCATTGATACAGTACAGGACTCTCTCCTTCAGATCCTTCCCGTAGAGGTTGTGCTTCGCTGATATGTAGTTACAAATGGCTCTGCACTGCACCAACTTCATCCCGTCCATCTCCACCATGGGCACTTGCTGAAACATCAGAACTCCACCTGGAGTAAAGGGGGGAGGATCAAGAGACATTTAGCTTCTGGATGAGGACCATTGGTGGGTGTTTGGCAAAAGTGTCTTATGATCCATGTCATTTGATTTGAGRCAGTCTTCCTCAGTCTCGTGTTATGGTATGGAAAAAAGATTTACCATGAAATGAAGAACCATTTCTTGCTCATATGTTCATCCAATATTATAACAAGCAGCTTCTTGAATTTGCTTCAAATCTGATGAAGCCCCCATATGCAGAACTTCTAAGAATTATACCCTGAAAAGGGCAACTCCTGTGCTGCATGGCCCTAACTCACATGAAT